GCAGGCAAATTGATGAAGGCAACGATTTTTTGGGGGTGGGGGGTGGGGAGAGGGTCCTGGCAGCAGGTGAATTGACAGAATGGTTGACGAATGGATGGAAGAAAGACTAGAGGAACGAAGGAAGGGGACGGTGGACATAGGAACTAGTGTATGGTAGAATGTCAAGATTAACGGATTGGTTAATGGGCACTTAGATTAAATCACGAAACGGTGACAAAATGATTTAAATACAATGTAAAACTTTTTACTTTTTAGTTTTAGGAGAGGTTTTACGGCGCTCGCAACTGCATACGGTCATATGAGCGCCAGAAGATTAGAGGCGTTACAAGAGAACAACAAACATAAAAAAGAAAAAGGGGAGATACGTATGGTAGATGTTTCATAGGAAAGAAGAAGCAGACCACACTAGAGCACCCGCCAACCACCCGAACGAAAGAATGGGACGGTGGACATAGGAACTAGTGTATAGTAGGATGTCAAGATTAATGGACGGATTGGTTAAAGGGCACTTAGATTAGATCATGAAAGGGTGGACAAAATGATGTAATATAAAATACAACGTAAAACTTTGAAATCACACCGAGTATTGTTATCCTCATCGCCCCACAGTCTAGGTGTGCCACTTTCGTGTCTTTCTTTTTTAATCGACTTTTCGATATTTCTTTTTAAAAAAGCCATTTCTGCTGTTTTTCCTTTATATATGCTTTTCATTTTTTCTCTCATTTTAATATATATAAGATATCAAAAGGGGTTTTAAAAATAAAGATTTTCCTTTCTTTCTTTCTTTCCTTCTTTTTGTTTGAGTGAGTTTTTAAAATTATCTATTTAAAAAAAAAAAAAACATGATATCACTACCGTCATAAATGCCACAGTCATAGGGAGCAGTGGTGCAGATATGGACAAAGAGCGACAAATCTCCACACACCTCACCACATCAGACATGACGCTGCGTCACTGCGCACGTGATGCACCGAACGCCACAGTCGCCCATTCACTAAAGGGGTGTGCAAACAATACGGTTATTATATCAAAATCAAAGTCTTGACGTTATTTTTTGGTAAGAGTTTTACGGCGCTCGCAACTGCATAAGGTCATATGAGCGCCAGAAGATTAGAAGTGTTACAAGAGAGTAACAAACATAAAAAAGAAGGGGAGATAAAGACGATAAGTCTTGACGTTTGTCGTGAGAACATCCGATATATTTTAACGATCCAAAATGCTGAAGGAAACTACAGTCGAGCCTGCTCTAACGGCCACCTGTAAACTGTAAAAGACAATCACTTGTATAAACGGCAGCTTCCCCCCCACCCCCCTAGCGCATTGCATTTTCTTACGATATCATAATGACACTGTGCAAGACGTCCACCTTTCTAGGACGACCACTTTTCTCCTCGATAATGGGTGGCCGCCTTAGACAGTTTCGACCGCCCTCCGTGGGTGGTTGGCGGGTGCTCTGGTGTAGTTAGCTTCTTCTTTCCTATCTAACATCTAGCGTCCTTATCTCCCCTTCTTCTTTTTTATGTTTCTTACTCTCTTGTAACTCCTCTAATCTTCTGGCGCTCATATTATGACCTAATGCGGATGCGAGCGCCGAAAACCTCAACTAAACTAAACCGAGACTGCATTCCCCTAGAACGAAGAGCTTTCGACGTCCAGCTCGCTTGGCGTCGAGTTAAACAGTTTGACAGATCGAAATCGAACGCCGAGTTTAATCTACCGCGCGCTCTGCACGCTACGATAAGTTACAGTATCACGCTCACGGTAACAAAACAGATGATAAAACTTCACCACCCTGTAGCTGTCACCATGAATGCCACAAATTTATTACACAGAAGTGAACGCCGGAATGAATATACATGACAGTTTGTCAATATTTATTAGGAACTAAAACTAAAAATAGTTGTATAAAAATATACCCGTGCACTCATGTATTCGATTCAGATTTGCACTTGAATTTTTTCTTATACAGATTTGTAGACCTACTTAGATTTCTGATTCAGAATTGTAGGCCTATTTAGATTTCTGATTCAGAATTGTAGGCCTACTTAGATTTCTGATTCACAATTGTAGGCCTACTTAGATTTCTGATTCACAATTGTAGGCCTACTTAGATTTCTGATTCAGATATTTACACTTAGATGTTTTATCCGAATCAGATTCAGATTTACACTTAGATTTCTTATTCAGACTTGAACTTAGAAAGCTTAGATTTCTTTATTTAGTAGAAGTTTTACGGCGCTCGCAACTGCGTAAGGTCATATATGAGAGCTAAGGGGTGGATGTCAACAGAGAAGTCTTTACAGGATATCGGGTTTACTCTGCTCACCTCTCTAGCTTTAACATCATGAAGTCTGTTTTGGCTTTCAAGGCACCCCGGACATAGTGGGTCACAAGGGTGTGACAAACATACAAAAGAAGTAGAGGAAAATGACGATAGTAAAGATTAGGAAAATGACGATAGTAAAGATTAGGAAAGAAAAAGCAGCAGTTCCCTGTTCAGGCACAGGTATCAGCATGACATTGTTGAATCAGCCCATTTACAATTCTACCGTGCATAAGAACGAGAAATGTCCTCCCTTTGGGAATCGCCTAAAGACACTTCAGTCAGTGGCACAATCCTGGGGGTGTGAAG